CTTTTCAATCTCTTCTCTTGGTATGGGTGTGTTCAGATTTTCAACATCACTTTGTTGTAGTTTGGGTAGGTAGTGTGTTTTTAGAAATTTATCCATTTCCTCTATGTTCTCAAATTTGTTTTAGTATACTTTTTCATAATACTCTTTTATGATCCTTTTTATTTCAGTTGGGTCTGTTGTAATGTCTCCCATTTCATTTCTTATTTGCGTTATTTGGGTCCTCTCCTGTTTTTGTTTTGTCAGTCTGGCCAGTGGTTTGTTGATTTTGTTGATCCTTTCAAAGAACCACCTTTTGGTTTTGTTGATTCTATCTACTGTTTTTCTATTTTCTATTTCATTTATTTCTGCTCTAATCTTTATTATTTCCTTTCTTCTAGTGGCTGTGGACTTTTCTTTTTTTTTTTTTTTTTTTTTTTTTTTTTGCTGTTCTGTTTCTATTTGTTAGATATTTCTTTTATTCTCAAGAAAATCTCTGCCAAACACCCAAGTCTGCTTTTCTGTCAGTCATGTTTTAAAGTAAAAAATGGAGTACCAGGAAAAAGCAGGTATTTCAGCTTGCAACTCAAACAAGTATACCAGTGCTTTTCCTCAAGGCAACCATCATACTTAATATACTTCAGATGTGCTTTATGTGTACTTCCCATTTAATCACACAGAATATTAAAAGATCTTGTAATGGTTAATTTTAGTTGTCAGCTTGGCTAGGCTCCTGTTCCCAGTGGTATGGCCTAATAGTAAGACTAGTTGCTATGCCATAATGTAATCTAATTCAATGTAATGTATTTACCTTCCATCAAGTAAACTAATGTAATGTAATCAATCAGTTGAAAGGAGAGTTCCTTAGGGTGTGGTCTGCCTCCAGACTATGAATAGATATTTTGGCAGAATTCATTCTCTCTCTCCACTTTGCGCTCTTCTTGTCATGCCTGCAGAAGTCTCCAGTGTGCCACCTGACCTATGGAATTTGAACTTGTCAGCTGCCCTCCTCCCTCCCTTACATACATGGGAGCCAATCCCTTGAAGTCAAGCTCTTTCTATATATATACATGCATCTCATTGGTTCTGATTTTTGTGATTGGTTAAATAAAATGATGCATGTAAAGTCGCTGGGTGGTGCAAACGGTTAATGCTCTTGCTGAAAACTGAAATGTTCTAGGTTCAAGTCCACCTAGAAGTGCCTTGGAAGACAGACCTGACAATCTACTTCCAAAAAATCAGCCATTGAAAACCCTATGGAACACAGTTCTTCTCTGACACACATGCGTTGTCATGAGTTGGAATCGACTTGAAAAAAAGAAAAGAAAAATTCCTGGAAAAGTGCTTGGTATATGTTAAGGATTAAATAAATATTAGCAGATAACATTCTTATCCTGGGGCTTTGCATTACCTGGAACTCTTGGAGTCTTTCCCAGCACGTGATAGGGAGCAACAGAAGAGTTCATTAAAGGCAGAAAATATAACTTCATAATTTCTTCTGAATCATTTCCAAAGTCTCACCATTCCAGAACATGTGCAATTAACCCAGTGATGTTGCCACCACAAGATGGCAGTGCCTCTCTCTCCTAAGACTCACCTTGGTTTGAAATCAGCCTGTGTTTGCATTCAAAGGAAAGATGGAGCTTGTCTCTGATTGGCTGGGTAAGAAACCTGAGGCTCCCTCTGGGAGGGCAGAAGGACTAGAAAGAGGCTCTTTTGACTGAGACTCTTGGCTCCATTTCAGACCCCAGAGCTGTGTCTTTTGTGAGCCCTATAAGGAGGAAGAATGGAGAAACTCCTGGGAGTGTCTTTGGTGATTCTATGGCTTCAACTGGCCAGTGAGTTGGGGTCTCTTGGTGATGGGAACAAGGAGACCAAAGTTCAGAGTCCATAAGATGAAGGATAAAGTCTTCCTATTAATTTGGAAATGTACTTGAACATTAGGGAAGGAAATGTAAACACTAGAGAGTGAAAATGCAAAGACTAACTTCTGGTCTCTGCCTTGTGTTTCTGCCTAGGGGTGAACAGCCAAGTAGAACAGAATCCTGAGACTCTGCCTATCCAGGAAGGTGAAAATGCCACCAAGAGCTGCAGTTATAAAACTAGTATAGACAGCTTACAGTGGTATAGACAAGATTCAGGTAGAGGCTTTGTCCTACTAATTTTAATACGTTCAAATGAGAAGGAGACATCTGCTGGAAGACTAAGAGCCACACTAGATATCAACAGCAAAAGGAGTTTCCTGTTCATCACCACTTCCCAAGCTGCAGACACTGCTGCTTACTTCTGCGCGATAGATACACAGTGTTTACCAGGCACCTGCAGCTCTTACACAAACCTGCCAGAGCTGCCACTTACTTAGATGCCCTAACAGTGGGTAGAGTTGGTGGTTACATCTTCACCCAAAGGAGAGTCTACCAACAACTGGCAACATGAAAAGGGATGCCCACTCAAATCTGTGATTTTTTTTGGAAGCACCTTGGGCTATGGCAAAGAGCACTAGATTTGGGGTGAAAAGCTAAAATGCTAGGTTCAGTTCTGCCAATGCTGAACATACAACCATAGACACATCATAACCAGAAGTGAAGTATTTGGATTGATGAGCCCAAAAGATCCTTCAAATTCTAATTTTCTCAGCAAAAAAAGTAAGCGCTGGAGACTTGCTGAGGATGAAGAGGGACTAATCAATATTTTATATGCAGCACCTCAAGTCCTAGATGGTTCTTTGAGATGCATAATATGATTCTCACATTCCTCTATAGGAAATAGTATTAGAATTCGTACAGCATTGGAATTAGAAGGGATCTTAGGACTCTTTCAATGAAACCTTTCATTTTACAGCTGAAAGTGGAAATGTTGTGTTGTGGAAAGAACCTGAAGTCTGGAGCAATAGAGACAAAGATCTGAATCTGATTATGCCACTTATTAATTGTATGACTTCCAAACCTCAGTTTCTCCATTAGTAAAACGGGAACTTACAAGAAAGTCATAATGTTCCCCCATCCAAGTGAGAGACGTATTTTCTCTATTACCAGAATCTGAAATATTTTTTTGAATGTGGGTAATTCTATTACCAAATATATAGCAGTTTTCCATTCATTTATTCTTGCTTCTAGTTAGATAAATAAATGCTGAATGTAGTTTTCTTGACACAGTTTTGATACTACTGAAAATGTTTTTGTGGAGAAAAATAGGGCATTTATATTTATGTGCATGCTTGTGAAAAGGTGGGGGAGGGCAGGAGAAAGACCGTGTAAAGGCTATGGTTCTCAAACACCAGACCTTGAATCATCAACATCACCTGTATCAGAATCATCTCAGCATCATCTGGAACACCTGAAGATCTGGATTATTAGACTCTATCCCAATTTACTCAATAACTTCTAATGAAGTGTCCCAGGAATTTGTATTTTTAGTGAACGTTGTCTGCATCTGCTGTATCTGTTAAAGAATGGTTTAGCTTCATGTTACAGAAAACTCAAATAATAATGTCTTTAACAAGATGGAGTTTATTTTTCTCTCACATAAAGTAGCTCTGCACTACACAGTTGCCGCTGGTATGGATATTTCAACATGTTATCAGAGATCCAGGGTCTTTCTGGCTTATAGTTTCTCATCTTTAACATGTCAATATTGTTTTTGTACTTTCAGAAAACTACTAGAGAGCCATTTAATTTATACACCTTCAGAACAGAAAGAAGGAGAAAGTCGAAAGGCAAGTGAGTATATTCTCGCTGAGCCAATCATTTTAAGAAGCTTTACTTAACAACTTTAATTTATATTTTATTTATTTACATTTTATTTTCCCTAGAATTGTTTTCCTCCATTAAAAAGAGTAGAAACTAGTAAATGCATACTCATTACTGTACATCTGTTCAAGAGTCAAAAACTGAAGGAAGCTCAATCATGGACTATTGCCCTTTCAAACTTGAAACTTTTAATTTATTTCTTTGATTGAGAGCTATGTTCACTACTACTGTGTGTGCTCCTTAATGAAAGCAATAATATCTGTGTTTCTCACCCTGAATCCTCAACACCAAAGTATCTTAGTCATTGTTGTTGTTAGGTGCCACTGACTTGATTCTAACTTATAGCCACCCTATTTACAACAGAACGAAACACAGCCCAGGCCTGCACCATCCTCATAATAGTTGCTATGTTTGAGCCCATTGTTGCAGCCACTGTGTTAATCCATCTTGTTGATGGTCTTCCTCTTTTTCTCTGACCCTCTCCTTTACCAAGCATGATGTCCTTCTCCAGAGACTAGCCCTCCTGAAAATATGTCCAAATTATATGAGACAAAGTCTCACCATCCTCGCTTCTAAGGAGTATTCTGGCTGTACTTCTTTCAAGATTTGTTCGTTCTTCTGACAGTTCATGGTATATTCAATATTCTTCGCCAACACCATAATTCAACGGCATCAAATCTTCTTGATTTCTTGACTGCTTCTTCCATGGGCATTGATTGTTGATCCAAATAAAATAGATCACAACAGAATATTGTCTGACAGAGTGATGGAACATGAGCCCCCTTGGTTGGAAGACACTACACAATGACTACAACAGTGAACTCAAACATGCCAACGATTGTGAAGATGGCACAGGACTAGGCAATATTTCATTATGTTGTACTTGGGGATCACCACAAGTCAGAGATGACTCATTGGCAACTAACAACAATAATGCAACCTATTATTTTTATCGTTGCCTTTACGGCTGTGATCCTTCTGAAGTGTGTCAAATTCATCAGCCAAAAGACTCAGGTGTTTGTTTGTAAGAAAAAGAGGGTGCACATGGACTCTTGTTTGCTGGGACCCCTAAAAGGATAAAATAATCTGATCCTTCTCACCACCAAAGGGAAACAGAGCAGAGTAATGTGGCCCCTCACTGTGATACTCAGGGGATGTAGCCCACCAAGAGAAAATTTGGTAATATTCTGGAATCCTGTGAGCTTTGTTTGTTCTTTATCCACCTCACATTATTTTGTAAGCATGGTAGATACAGATGCAGGTTTTGTAGAGCCTGAAACTTTTATGATTTTGTTGTCATTGTTCTTAGCTCTCTTCTAGTAGGTTCTGACTCATAGCGACCCTATAAGGCAGAGTAGAACTTCCCCATAGGGTTTCCAAGGAGTGGCTGGTGGATTTGAAAGGCTGACCCTTTGATTAGCAGCTAAGCTCTTAACCACTACACCATCAGGGGCCCCCCCTTTCAGAAAATGAAATGACAAATACAAATTTCTGAATTCCTACCAGAGCCTTCTTTCGAAAAGGCCCAGGTTAATTCTTCCCATTGCCATCGAGCCAATTCCAACACATAGCAGCCCCATAGGACAGAGTAGAACTGCCCCACAGGGTTTCCAAGGCTGTAAAATGGAGTCCTGGTGGTACAGTGGTTAAGAGCTATGGCTGCTAACCAAAAGTCAGCAGTTGGAATCTAGCAGCTGCTCCTTGGAAACCCTATGGGGCAGTTCTACTCTGTTCTATAGGGTCGCTATGAGTCAGAATCAACTCAATGGTAATAGATTTTTTTTTTTTTTTTAATCTTTATGGAAGCAGACTGCCAGGGCTTTCGAACTGCCAACCTTTAGGTTAGCAGCCCAGTGCTTAACCACTGCACCACTGGGGCTCCAATGAGGTAATTTTTAAAAAAAACAAAACCAAACCTGTTGCCGTCAAGTCAATTCCGACCCATAGCAACCCTACAGGACAGAGTAGAACTGCACCATAGGATTTCCAAGGCTGTAATCTTTATGGGAGCAGCCAGTCACAACTTTCTCCCACTCTGTGCTAATAAGCCCAAACCTGTTGCCCTCTAGTCAATTCTGACTTATAGTGTTGCTAGGTGGAAACCCTAGGTATTGCTCAGGATGGCTTGTTACAACCAATAAACAAGGTGCCGAGGTGGGAGATAAGAAAGACACCTTATTTCATTGTATAAGGAAAGGAGCAATTGGGGCTGCTGCCTCCAAGACTGCTCCCAGGCAGCTTGAGGAGGTGGGGTTTTACAGAGAGCAGACACGCAAGTGCAAATTCATCATGAATATTCAGAATTGACCTCCACACAGGCACTCAGGGGTTGGGGATGACTAAGCATTTTCTTTAGACAAGGGTTTGATTCTCCAGGATGGAGGAAGAGGTTGATTGTCTTTCATGTGGATGTTAAGTCTCCACCTAGAGTGGGGTGAGGCCATCTATGGCCTGTTCTGTGGTTATCTTGTCAAGGACATTTTCAGAAGAAAGTGCAGCTTATTCTGCTCAGTGTAGGAGGATAAGCCAGAGCAGGTGTCTGTTAGAATGGTTGGTCTCTGAGGCTGCCTGCCTCAATAGTGACCCTATAGGATGGAGTAAAACTGCCCCACTGGGCTGGGCTAATACAGATCCTAAAATATAAGCCCGACTTGCTTCTTGGTAAATCTGTCTCTGGGATCCCATAGGGTATCTTCCTCATCTTCATCTTTGAGATGGAAGTATTACAATAGTTATAGTTGTCTAGGTATTGGCAGGTTCTCTCGCCCCCAGATCCCCTTTCCACCACAGGACTTGAGTCACTGAGTATCTGGATTAATCTGAGTATTTCAAACTCCATTGTTTTTTAATAACAACCTTATTGAGATATAATTCACGTACTATAAAATTGACCCTTTTAAATTGTACAATCCAGTGGTTTTTAATATATTCATAGAGTTGTGCAACAATCACCATTACCTAATTCAAAGACATTTTTATCATCACCCCCAAAAGAAACCCTGTACCTATGAGCAGTCACTCCCCATTCCTCACTCCCTCTAGTCCCTGGCAACCACTAATCTACTTTCTGTGTCTATGCCTATTCTGCACTTTTCATATAAATGGAATCATACCCTATGTGACCTTTTGTGCCTGGCTTCTTTAACTTAGCATAATGTTTTCAAGGTTTATTGATGTAGCAGATGTATTAGAACTCCTTTCCTTCTTAGACTGAATAATATTCCATTATATAGATATTTCACATTTTTATTCATTTATCAGTTATGGACATTTGAGTTGTTTCCACTTTTTGATATTATGAATAATGCTGCTATGAACATGTCTTGTACAGAAGTCTTGTTATTTTTAACTGTATTATATTTTGAGTTAGAATTAAAAAAAAAAAAAACTTACTCAGATGCTGTAAAAATGGTGTGGGGACAGCATCTGACCTCCTATAACTTCACAAGAGGGAAGGAGAATCAAGATCAGCAGCCCAAGGCTGATTCCCATGAGAACAGACTTGCCTCTTCTCTCCGTCATCGTTACCAATTCTGATACCAACCATCCCTCCCATGGCACTCTCTACTTCTCTGCTGGGGTAGATAATCATTGCAATGGCTAAACAGAACTCACAGACAATACTCAC